ATTATCTACAAAAATTATAATCCAGCTAGTATTTATTTTTGTTGAATTCAACACACACCAATTTACCAACTGTTGGTTTTTCTGGTCCTAAAAATCGCTACAGTTGACTAAAAGGGGTGTAGTCTTCTTGTGTAAGGGGGATTTCTTCATCAAGAGCTTTAATTATTGTCTCGGGTTTAATGACCCATTGTTTGTCTAGATTAAGGGCCCTGTATTGCTGGGGAACCTCCTTCACTTCAGCATTGTGAATACGATATTTCTTAAAAGGTTCAAATCTTGGTCCAACTTCGTCTACTGCTTGTCCAAACATGATTACTTCTACCTTTTCATCTTATAAATTGAACAATAACATTCACGTGAACAAACAAATTACAATTAAATGAATGATTAACCTAAACATTGAATGATAATAAGTGCTACCTTACTGCCTTACAGCACCATTTTTTGGGTTTTGTGAGAACGACCAAACGGCTTTAGTTTCTCTTCAACGACAACAATAGCTAACCACGGCTGATGTTTCTTCTCCAATGAATCTATGGGAACGTATGCAGCCATCTTGCGACAAAAGAATTTTGTTATAGTTAGTATTTATTATAAATTTAACAAATTTCAAACCATAGTATACACAGGTTTCCAGGAGCTGAAAATGAGAACAATACGTATGTATGGAAGGAACTATAATTTCCTATTTCGTCCACCAACCAAAAAAAAGAAAATTACCTGAAGTACGATGTGATTGCTGGTATAGTTTGTAAACTCGTAATCATGGATCGTAGGATCGGATGATCCTACGATCCCAGGTACCTAAATCGATCTTGGATCGATCAAACTCGAATTTTACAGTGGGATCAGAGTGGGATCGGTCTGGATCGGTTAGGATCGCACATAATCGGTCAGGATCGTAGGATCGGTCCGAGTTTACGATTCATCAATTACGAAAAAATAATAGAGCTTATTGAGATTTTTCCTTTCTCTTAGTTCTTTTGGTTCACATTAAATTGAGGTAAATATTCTTTGAGAAAACTTTTATTGCTAAGAAAAATATATTTTAGAAAGTTTTTCTAATAAAATGAAAAAAAGAACTATAAGAGAAGAGTTTTTCTTAAAAAGTTATGAAAAAATTCATATAAAAAAATTGAATTTACACAAATCTTTTTGTTTAGCTGTTAAATACTTTATGTAAAAATAATTGAAACCTAATTATGAAAGTAATTAATTATATAACATGTATAATTAATTTTACGATCCTACTATTCTGATCCTACCGATCCTGTTTACGATCCGATCCTATGAACCCATTTCGATCCTACGTAAGATTACGATCCTGCAAACATTGATTGCTGGTTACTTGGTGTGAATCTTGGGTGTTGGTATAACCACAACCACAAACAATCTTCAAACTATACCCAAAAGAAGGCAATGAGAACGCACGGGAAAATTAAAACAATATATATATATATATATAATCGAAAGGAAAATTAAATATATTGTGATGACTGTGAAACAAAAATCAGAGAACCTCTATTATAATTTGATACACACGCAAAAATTCTAATCTATTTTTGCATGAAGCAAACAACCATTCTGATCTAATAATTTTCAATAATAAAACTACATCTCAATGGACCAAAAAAAAAATTATCCTAATTTAATCAAAAGATAGGAACCTCACAGCAACATAATGTTAAACAAAAATAAATCTAAGTTTCATGCTCTACAAATTCTGAGTCCTGTTGACAAGAGCCATCACGTAGAGCAATAGAAACGCATATACAGAAACGACTTTAAAATAAAAGGGAAAAAGTTACTAATATGGATGCAGTACAAAGAAATAAAAACCAGAAAGAAATCAACAGGAACTCAGATGCAACAAAACCAAACTACTTTGCAACAAAAGAGAATTTTGAATTGATATTCTCAGTGTAAAAAACCAGCAATGATTGGAACAAAAGGGGGCAAAAATCAATATGAAGAAAGTACCACACCTTCAAGAAATTAACCCACAACCTGATAGCTTTAGATTCTTCGACTCTCTGTAAAAATCGACAACCCGATAGCTTTAGATTCTTTGACTCTCTGAAAAAATTTTGAGGGGTCATGGTTGGAATATATAGCAAGGATGAGGGATAGACTTTGGTTTTTCTAATTTGTGATGGGATTGTGTTAAGGAAATAATTTGATTTGGTTTACAAATAGGAAATTTTGGAGTAGGGAACGGGAAATTTAATTGGGTTGAGGAAATAATTCGATTTGGTTTACAAATAGGAAAGTTTAGAGTAAGGAACGGGAAATTCTAATCTCAACATGATTAGGTTTATCCGAGTAACCGCGAAGGTGGCTCCGGGGAGGACGAACAAGGCTGAGACGACGAAGTTGCTGGCGCCGAGGGGAGAGAACGGCCAACAACCCCGCTTGCAAAGAGTCGGTGGAGAAAAGAGGGGGGGGATGTAGTTCCAACCGACGGAGGAAGGGAAATTCACGTCAAATAGCTTTGTAGTTTTGTAGTCTGTTGGGCAACAAAATTACGTCGTATGGAAACGACGTCGTTTTGATGTTCAAGGTCTGATTTCGTGAGTTTAGGGAAACTTCAGAAGCTTGGCGCTTTGTTTTTCAGGGGTGCAATTTGTAATTTTGAATAATTGGGAAAGTTGTTGTGTTTGTGTGTATCTATTGAATATTTTACCCCTTTTTAAAAACGTTGATGTTGTGGGGGGTCTCTTAATTAATCAAAATCAAAATATTGAAAAAATAATTGGAAGAGATTCATTTATAAGTATACAAAGTAACAGATGAAGGCTTATATCACAAAAGCCCAAGTAGTCACCATGGTAATATTGCTCTCACTACTTCAATTCTAGATAGAGGTCATGTGTTTGAATCCAAACCATTACTTTTATTTTCTACCTATTTTTCCCTCTAAACCAAAATCCTACATAGAAAAGAGTCCAAGATAAAAGTTCAGGAGAAAGGCCACAAAAAGCTCAAAAAAAAGGCCAGAAAAAGACCCAATAACCAAAAATACCCAATTTATGGTCCAAAATGAAAAAAATTACAATTAAAAGTCCAAACCGTCAAACCGCCCAAACCAAACCATTCATATGGTTTGGATTGTTCCAGTTTTAAACCTTATCAAGTTTGATTACAGTTTACATAATTTTAAAACCGTAAGTCACGGTTCGGTTATAGATTAATAGTAATCCAAGCCAATCCTGTATGTGAATACCCCTATATGTATACATCATCTTTGGATTATTTTACAGAAAATACAAAATCAGTTTCCCTTTTTCCTAATTCTTCCTCACTTGTTCGCCCGTTCCTAACTCTAATCCCCTCAGGTTCTTCTAATTTATGGATCTCCCTTCTTCAATTATTACCCCTGTATTCCAGTTTAATTCCATATTTAAGTCAGTTAGCAAGTTTGATCCGATTTTTCAGGTCTTCCGCTACGAAAAACTCATTTTTTTTACTGATTTATTTTTTTCAAAATCCTTTTTTCGTTCAATTTAGAATGATTACAAGATCTATAGTTGTTATTGATGAGGCTGACAAGGAATCGACGCCCCGAATCGACGGAGTAACTGTTCACATGAAAACCCTAGAACGCCATTTCTCATTCCAAGATCGACAAGATGGCTACTGAATAAGAGTCGAAGTTTGACTGATTGGTGAAGATGATGCAAAAACTTGAGGCGTAACAGCTTAGAAATCCGAAGAAGGCGCCTGAGATCATCACAATTCCTCCCGTTCCTTCGATTATTTAACCACCAATATGGACGGGGTGCTTGACTTTTGGGTGAGCCAAACCCAAAAGTGTGGAACAAAAAATGTGTAGGGTTTATTTTGTAGACAAATATAATGTTCTCGCGCTTTGAAAACGCGAAACAATCAAATTAGATTAACATTTCGCGTTTCACAAACGCGAATAATGTTAATTCCATCCACTCAGCTTCAAACGGGTCGAAAGCAAAAAAAAAAAAAAAGAAAAATCAGTTTTTCGCGTTTTAGAAACGCGAAAAACGTAATACGCGTTTGCAAAGCGCGAAACTTTGTTTTCGCGTTTTCAAAACGCGAGAAACTATTTTCGCGTTTAAAAAATGCGAAAATCTGTAAGTTTAAAATTGTAAATTTTGCGAATAAGATTTTAGCGTTTTGAAAACGCGAAACAAAATTTCTAGCGTTTTCAAAGCGCGAAAAATAGATTTAGCGTTTTTAAAACGCGAAAATATCCAGAAAATCTCCTCATCCACTCTCCCGTCTCCACGTGTATTTTTGATGATAAGTCTGAAATGTATTCGCGTTTGTTAAACGCGAAATTTAAGATTCATATATAAAACAAGCGACTTAACAGCATTTCTCCGCAAATTTTTTTCATTGTTCAGCTCCGATTTTTCTTTCCAAATTTCTTTCATTCTGTTGAACTCCAATTTTAAGTTTCACTCCGGAGGACTTGCTGAATTCGTGAAAGCTCTCATTTTCTTCAAATTGAGAAGTTGCTCCGAGGTTAAAGAAGATTGATTTGAGTCCTGAAGCCTATTTAAAACTCTAAGTTTTAACATTGAGGTAAGTTTATTTCGTTATTAAAAACATGTACTTTTTTATGTTTTATTATGAGCATAGGATGATTTACGCTTATTATTAGTTAATATATAATTGTGATTTAGTCAATTAACGGTGATTTTTTATTGAGGCTGATAAAGTAAATTGAAAGAAATATTAGTTAATAGAATATTAAATTAGATGAGCATTGTAAATTATTGTACATCAATTTCTGTAAAATAAAATAAAATTATAATAATGATATTGAATTTTTGAATATTTATAGCATAAGAATAAATTATGTAATTCGGGCATAAGGTTTAGATTTAATATTAATTTTGAGCATACAAATGAATTTGTAAATTCAGGCGTATAGTTGTTCTTTTAAAATTATTAAATCTGTAAACGGGGTAAATACTGTGGCCGCAAACTGATTTCGTAGGAATTGATTTTGCAGGCCGCAAATGTCTTTCACGGAGACAGTTAAATTCAAATTATACTTGGAATACTACTTATACAATCGAACTGATGGGACTATCACGGTACAATGGGATGCGCCAGACGGTTATCTTATCATTGATCGTATGTTAGATTTCTCGGAACTTGTTGATAAGGTATTAAGTGTGATCGGAGTTGATAGAGAAGGGTCGTATATTGATTTTTCTTTGGTATGGACGGAGAGGTCGGAAAAGGTCTCGTGTGCACATTAATGATGATAATATCGTTCGGTTCATTTATCTTTGTGCTTGATAAATGGCTAGAATTGTACCACGAAAATGTTGAGAGAACAGGCCATGTTTATGCAAGTACATCCGCCAGGATATTGGTGCCGGCACTAGTGGTGGTAGAACGATTGAAGACAATGAAGATGGAGATGAAGATGGAGATGAAGATGAAGATAAAGATGAAGATAAAGATGAAGATGCAGATGAAGATGAAGATGAAGATGTCAGGGGTGTCGAAAGCAGTGATGATGAGTACGTCCCATCGGATGAGGACTCAGATGACGACACTGATTTTGAGTCATCTTCTTCAGTCCCATATGTTTTCGACGACATAAGTGGATGGGACAAGACTTTAGAGGAAGTAGAAAACGATGGAATTAAAATGTGGGATGGCAATCCGTTGACGCTAGGCCTTGATATACATTTCGCCAACAAGCCTGAGGCACAAGCGGCAGTGGGAGAATGGAACTTGGTACATGGTCGGACTTTCCGGTTAAAAACGAGCTCTAAACGAACATGGTATGTCGAATGCGAGACGTGTGGACCTAAATATCCGAAAGAGCGCCTTCACGGCTATGATTGTCTGTGAAAGGCGCGAGTTTCGCTACAGAAGGCCACCGATACTTGGAAAATGGTGGTATGGTCCGATTCCCACAACTGTCTTGGGGCAAACAAGAGAAACGAGTCCCGAAACGTCACGTCTTCTATGATTGCTAGACTGGTTGCCCAAAATGTGCGAAAACATCCAGATTTTGCAGTTGCCCAAATTCAAATAGAAGTTTTGAAGCGGTACCAAGTCGAATGTAGCTACAAGAAGGCATGGCATGGTAGAAGAAAAGCACTTGAGGCTCTGTATGGTACATGCCCAAATTTAATGTTACTTTCTCCGTGCAGGTGGTCCCGCGAGAAAAAAGTTCAAGGTATCACGCGGTTCAATTTGGCCGCGTACCGGGATCAGCTTGCAGTTCTCGCAGAGTCTGATGTTAGTATTCTATTCAACTAGTATAACTTATGTTTTATTCGTTTTTTTTAACGGTGTCGAACTTTTAATTACACGTCTCTTACTTAATTACCATTGCAGTTTGTATGGATGCCGTACACGACTCTTTTGGGTCGTATTGCCAGGGTTTGTCTTGTGGGACAGGGCATATGGCGATCTCAGACATGGCTCATCTGCGGTGATGTCGTTGCGCCACACAACCCCAGTAGGGTATTTCGCCAATTTGGTTATCACCAGCGGATACCCGGCGACGCATTACTTCTCACTGCGGCGGAAATTACTAGCTTGCTCAAGAGGAAGCCGTTTGGAGGATCCGATAGGAGATGGTTACAACAACTAGGGATATATCTCCAGGTTTGGAATGATCGCCACGGCCAAGTTGTGGGGACTGATGATGATTATGTTGGCGAGCCTTCCGCAGATCCGGAGTATCTCTTGTGGTACCATCAGGTTACTGTGAAGTATGTTACGGATCCGACGGACTCTGAAAATGCGAGGGGTTTTCACGGTTCTGCAGAGACCTTGCGCCTCATGGTGAGTATTTCGCCTACAGTCCATTTGGTTCTTTTTATTAACACTGTTGTCGATTTATGATTCTTTCTAATAAAAATTTCAGGCCACATTAATGGAGGACGTTCGTAGTCTGAGTATTATAGGTCAGCATACTTTCGACGCGGACTCCTTTGGTTATGATCGCTTAGGCGAGATTGCCCAGGTTGCTGAGCGGGCGTTGTCCGTCAATGCAACAAATGTTGTACGTCACGATCTCGATAGGCATATTGAGGTTCATGACATTTTGAGTCAAGAACTTGCACCTGTAGACCCGACCCAGCAACATCCACCACCCAGACCTCCGAGGCGTTCGCGCAGGTCTCAGCGTGGGCGTGGGGGGCAAGAGACAATTACATCATCTCAGCCACATCAGTCCTCCCAGCATGAGCAGTCTCATATTCCCTTCACCGGCGGTTCATCCCATCGGTCTCCACATCGCTCCACTCCATTCTCGACAACATTCAGCCCATCGGTCTCCACATCATTCATCCCATCAGTCTCCACATCATTCTTCGCCGACCCAACAGGCGTTTTACCGTCCGATTATGTCTCCCAGCACCAAGAAGTCAATTTTTCCTTCACTCGGTTTTCTCCCCGACTTCTCGGCGTCGGTTTGGAGATTCTTTTATTGACTTTTCTGGGTTTCAGCAGAGTTCGCTAGATGGCCAGTCGATACATTACACGAGTAACTTTCTTTCGAGTATGTTCGAGGGTGTTGCGGGTCAGCATTAGGCTGATAACCCAGCTGAGGGTGAGCGTGAGAGTCAGAGTGAGGATGAGGATGAGGCTGAGGATGCAGACCAGGATGATCAGTTTGAGGGTCAAGGTTATCAGCGCCATGAGGAGCAGGGATCGAGTCAGACTCTAGGGACTCCACCGTTGGCTGTGAGTAAAGGCCAGAGAGTGACGAAGGAGCCCGATAGATTGACTTATAGCCTTTTTCGGGCTAAAAAGCCCAAGAAGAAGTAGGGTACTAGACTTCTTATGTAGTATTATTAGACTTGTCTTTTTTTTCCCTTTTGTTCATTTCTGTTTTTTTTCCTTTTGTTATGACTTGTTTTATTTTTTTTTACCTTTTGTTATGACTTGTAGTATTTTGTTATGACTTGTATTAATATTCTTAATAGTTTGATTTCACCTGCATCGTAAATACAATAATTAATATTTATAAAACACATCTTCGCCGATCAAATCGAAACACATATTTAAACTTTCTTATATTTTTTTTTCATAATTAATAGTTGCTTCATCTTAAGTGTTGGTAAATTATAATAAATATTTAATAAAATTTATTCCTATTTTAAGCTTTTTTCTTATATTAAAACCATCATAATTAATAAAAATAATTTGTAAATTAAATTACATCTCATTAAATCCATAAAATTACGTCATTATCATTATTGAAAATTTTTCATATAAAATTATTTTTTAAAATAATGATTACATTTTTAATAAAAATTTTTAATATAATCATTATTAAATTTTTTTATATAATGTTCTAAAAAATTAATACATTATAATAACTATATCATACTTTTAATAATTTATATTTAGTATAGCTCTATTTAATTTAATGAGATTATAATATTATATTCTTATTCAAAATTTAATTTTCGTATTATTAAAATTATCAATATAATTTTCCTCTTTATAGCTCTATTCAAAATTTAATGATTAACAGTTATAATTTTAAAATTTTCTGTTACCATTATTCAAATTTAATAATTATTTGAAGTCAATTTCCCTATAACGTTTTAAACTAGTCAAATTAATCATATTTTTATGCCTATTTTCTTTTTTATTAAATAAAATATTTTTTTAATTGATTTCGCGTTTTCAAAACGCAAAATCTTATTGATTCAAGTTAATTAATTAGGATTATGTTAAATTAATTACGTCTCCTTCTTTTTCGCGTTTCTGAAACGCGAAAAACATATATTCGCGTTTTCAAAACGCGAATTTGTGTTTTTAGCGTTTTCAAAACGCGGATTTTTATATTTTCGCGTTTCTGAAGCGCGAGAAAGCTATTTTTGGCCACAATTTAAACCCTAAGCATATTTTATTCATCATTTTTTTTTTAGTTACTAATAAGTAAATTTTCCCAATATGGACCAATCCATTTGGTTCGGAGTGGTTACAAGTTAGTCCAATGGTGGAAAGGTTTCTTTGCATGCAAATTCCTGTAATCTGGCGTGTAAGAATTCAGATTTAGATCCAAGCGTTGGCGGGTTCAATCAATCTGGTCATAATGGTTTTAAGACTTTTGACGGTTAACCTTGTTATACTTGGTTCCAACAGCCGCGATTGGATTTGCCGGAATTCACAGGAAGCAACCCCTAAGATTGGTTGAGGAAATACAGTAAGTACTTCTTGATTCATCAAATCCCATATGAAGCCAAAGTGGATTTAATTGAAGTGTTCCTGGACGATAGAGCAGACACGTGGTACGAGGAGTCAAATTTACTACCGGCAAGTTGTCCTAGGATGCATATTCCAGAAGCTTTGATCTAGAGGTTTGGTAATAAAGAGGGACGAGACTGTGTGGAAAAGTTCAGTAAATTGGTGCAAATAGTGACTGTGATTGAGTACCAAGAACAGTTTAAAAGCCTCTGTTTTGTTTGTTAAGGCCAAACGTCCAGTAAGGGGAAACTTATTTTATTTTGAGCTTCATCAGTGGACTCAAGGAAGAGCTAAAACCTACTTACGAATGTGGCATCCCAGGTCTCTTGCAACAGCCTTCGACATCTCAATTCATCAGGAACAGAGCCTGGCATTGCTTCACAAGATTGGATGGAACGACACAGGTAGGGGTGTAAACGAGCCGAGTCAAGCCCAAGTTCACCCCTGCTCGAATTCGAACTCGATCCAATTATACAAAACTCGAACTCGGCCCGAACTTGGTCGAGCCATAAATTTCAGGCTCGAGCTCGGCTCGACAGCTCGAAATCATCAAACCCCTTGAACAACTTCTTCGAAAAAAAGAGTCCCAATTCACTAGAATTATGATTACCAAAAACACAATTCACGTCATCTTCTAATCCAGGAAACGCCTAACATATAGAGGATTCCGGATTTAATTAATCTTCAAAGACAAGAATTAGAAAAAGAAATTTAAAAAAAGGCAAAAGGAAAAAGGAAAAAAAAACCTATGGATTCTCAAATTTGGTCTCTTACTATTGTTGTTACCATTGATTCATTTCAGTGTTTTATAGTTGTTGGTATTGGTAACCATATTCTTGTATTGTCTTGATCATTCGCATTTTTAATACTGTAGCGATTCCTTTTAATTAAAATATATTGGTTCACTGTTTTAGTCCGTCTCTATTAAATAACGGTCTTGAGGACAAGTCTCGTTTAACAATGAGAGATTTGTCATATACCAGAGTGTTCAATTGCTTTTAGTAGATAGTGATGGATCAAAATATACTCCCTCCGTCCCATAATTATTGTTCACTTTGCCCAAAAAATTTTGTTCCAAAATTATTGTCCAATTTGACTTTTTATAGATCAAGTTACACATTTGTCCTTAATAAAAAATATTATTCATAAAATCTTAGTGGTTAAACAATTACTTATGTAGGGGTATATCCGGTTGTTTAAGGTAAAATGTAATTAAGTTTGACAAAAAATAAAATCTTTCATTTTAGTAAAACTGGACAACAATTATGGGACAGAGGGAGTAATTAATAGAAGTTGAGTCAAATTATATAGAGAATTCTCACTATTATAAAGGTATTGGATCATTTTACAGAAAATACAGAATTAGTCTCCCTCTTTCTTAATTCTTTCTCTCGCGTTCTTCTGTTCCTAACCCTAATCCCCTTCCGTTCTTCTGATTTCTGGATCCCCCTTCTTCAATTCTTGCTCCTGTATTCCGTTTAATTCCATATTTAAGTCAGTTCGTGACTTTAACTCATTTTTACCACAAAGTTCATGGGTAGGTTAGGAGATATTTTACTTAGTTTATTTTAACAGAAGGCTCATCGAAAACCGACAAACAACCAAAGTTAAACTAAAAAAAACCGTTCATATATATAAACTGGTGCAAAGGCAACGACAGATTATGCTTTTACAGAGGGCCCATTTCTTGGTTTTGTTTTTTTAACTCCAAAATAATTTTTATTTTTTTGTTAAACATCCTTGTAGCCAAAAGAAATTTCCAATTGCTCAAATGTAAGAAGTTTGCAACAACAAAAAATATTTTTGGTATTAATTTTCTTTACAAAACATTTTTTTATATCTTCTTCTCTTCTCTTTTATCTTCTCTAATTTGTACATACATAAATGTCTTTTGATAAGTTTAGAATCTTAAATGTGATTGATTAAAATTTAAATTAAGCATTTTGTTTGGCATCAGCGCACATGACATCATCAATTTTTAATTGAGTCTTTTCATTGGTTAATAAGTTAACATGACACCGGCAATTTAAGACGGGGTTATAATTATCAATTAATAAATCAATTTTCCTTTTTTTTACCAACCAGGCGCTCAAAACAATGTCTTTTGACATAAATAAATATTAAAATATTTTCGTTTTTGAAACGGAGAGAGCAAAGTCTGAGCGTCCCCCACTCACCCTAATGCCCACGATGGTTCTGGAGAAGTTTTCAAATTAGTTTCTTCCCCCATTGGCCCCTGTTTTGTTCTTCTGTTATCGATGAATAGTAAGGAGGAGATCATCATGATGGATACCAATTACAGAGGAGATGTGTTGGATGTTGGCCCGGTTGAAGTGCCGCCTGGGAAAGGGATTTGCGGTGTCCTAATTGAAGGTAATATCTTTTTGTTTAGATTTCTATCTCTGATACCATTAATCTATTGTTTTTCTTTTCTTGCTTGTGCTTTATAATTCAGGTTTTGAGTCGGTAACTTTACTTGCAATCTCGCATGGTCAGCTGATTCTGAAGCTCCAATCTATATCTACTTAGTGATGGTTTCAAAAACAACATGCAAATTACTTTTCTGGGGACTACTAAACGCTCTAATGTTTCCCTTGAGTACCCTAATTTAATACCAGAAGACCATTTTGCCTCTACCAGATTTTATAAATTATTAGTTTTAATTTCATTCTTTCAATTCCTAAATCAATCTTTCATTTCAAATTTTCTCATTCCTAAATCCAAAAACCTCAGATTCAATGGCGGAACGAATGAAACAGCTACGGAAAGAAGCACAGAAACTCAAGGTACGTTCAAATATGAGTTTAAATTCAAATTTGAGGTTTTTTTTTTAGAAAAAACACTGCCCGACCGGTGATGGAGGACCTCGTTAGGGCAAGTAGAGCCGGCGCAGAGATTCGCGCCAGCTCTGTAAGGGGTGGCGAAGGCGCCTAGTTCTTCGCCACCCTCTGAGGTGAGGCGAGAAATATCTCGCCAGGCGCTGGCCGCCTAGCAAGATTATCTGGCGCCGGTATGTTTGATTTGTTTTTAAGTATTTAAATTTTATTTATTTTGTAATTTATTTATTTTAATTTAATTATTATTTATGAATTGTAGAATAAATATTAGTAATTTTAATTAGTTGTTATTATTAGTAATTGTAAAACTTATGAATTTTAGTTTAATTATGTATTATTAGTTTAATTTATTAGTTTAATTTATGATTTTATAGTTTAATCTTATGAATTTGTTTTTATTAGTTTAATTTATTTAGGAAACATTTTTATTAATTAATATGTTTAATCTTAAGTAAATAATTTGTTAATAATATTCATATTTAGGAATTCATTAGTAGTTTTAGGGAGCTTTAATTTTTTAAAATTAATTTGGGGAATTATGAAAGTTATTATAATTAATTTAATTATTGAAATATTTTTGTAGGATTAGTCGGTTTAATTGTAATTAGCCTTAAAAAAAATGTGATACATAGAAATAAAATAGTTAGTATGGGATAATTAAATAAATAAGGATTAAGTAAATACAAAAAAAGAGGTTAGATTATATTTTGGTTAAAATTAAATAATAAAATGTAGATAATTTAATTAATTGAAGTATATTTGGAAATATTATTAGTTGTATTTAGTAGATTTAATAAATTAAACATTTAAGATGTATAGTAGATAATTTTATATAATTAGGTATTTAAATAATATGAAAATGTATTAAAGTAATTTACCTAAATTAATAATTTATTATTTAGATTTTATTAAGTATGTATGAAACTAAATTTTTTGGGACGTATTCAGGATAAATTAAAGTTACATGTAAAATTTAAAACTTTTGTAGGATGAGATATCACCTCTTGAGGGATCTGGTAATCGCCATGCAGTTACGCACAATCTATATGCTGAACATCGTATAGAAAAAGAGAAAAACTTAAAGAAACAGAAAAATGTACATCCTACCTTTGCTCCACCTGGTGAGTCGGCGAATGTAGATGATGATGATGAGATTGAGGGAGAGGAAGAACAAGAGGAGGATAGTTTTGAGAGTGGAGGAGGGGGGGGGGAAGGGACGATGTGGATGAGGAGGATGAGTCAGACGAGTATTCCTCACCTGAGAGGAGGGATATACATTTTGGAGGTAACCCAGTACTGAACTACTGAACCCATTGGTCGTACTGATGATCAGACTCCAGTTCACCCTACCCGGGGGAGAGGGGCGAGAGGGGAGGGGAAGACCCTTGTTGGATTATCGGGGTTGAATTTAGCTTACACCCGGTGGTTCCAATCTTCATGCCGGCCCAGAAAGTACTCTTTTTAGAGGTCCTAGTATTACTCTTCATCATGCTGGCCTACAAAGTGCTCTTTTTAAAGGTCCTAGTACTACTTTTCATGATTCCGGCCCGCGGGGCATTTTGTTTGGAGTTCCTAGTAGTACTCTTCACGATGTCGGCCCTCAGCATCGTTCTGGCGAGACTTCGTCGCACCCCCTTAGACTAGTCAGTCTCATCCCCGTTTTGGTGGTGCCTCCATTGGTGTCTCTAGCCGTCCTGAGGCAGCTGCGATGTCATCATGTACGTATTTGTAATTATTTAAGCATTCATTACTACAACGTCAATTTCTTTATTGCATTAAAGTTAAGTATTAACTAATTAATCTTTATTCGGTTTCAGGTACTAGTAGACGGTCTAAGGTTTCTAACGAAGAAATTGATGATTGGGTTTTGACGGACGACGTACCTGGCGGGCCATGTGATGGGTCAGTGATTCCTAGTTTTCTTGGCCACATTGCTTATCAGTTGTGGAATGGAGAACCAAGAGATTACCTGACGATAAAGCCAGCGAAGAAGAGTTTGTCTATATTGCATGGATGGTATACATGTATGATGACAATGACCTTGCTATTTCTGCATTCATAGAGAGGTGGCAGCACGACACAAACTCTTTTCACTTTCTGTTTGGGGAAATGACCATCATGATGCATGATGTGGCACACATTTTGGCGATTCCAGTTAAGGGTTACTTGTTGATCCGGAAGTGGAAATGTTAGCCTTGACACTCTTCCTCGACAGGAGTGGGGGCAGGATTAGTGCTTCGCTTATGAACGAGCTCCACGGAGGTGTCGAAAATATTGAAGTTTATTCCTGTGGATCCGGTACACTAGCATTCCTCTATTGTCAGCTTGGGATTGCTAGTCGAGCAGGGTGTACCATGATAGCTGATTGTATGACCCTTCTCCAGGCATGGATATATGAATATTTTCCATGCTTCCAGCCCTAGAAGAGGCGGGGACGTCGAGGTGTTGATGGTTGGCCCAGAGCCTGAGACTGGACACCAGTTAGCTATAAGGGCCCAAAGCCTATTCAGAGTCGACTCTAGCAGATTCATGTGCAACTTGATGCGATGACTGAGCAAGAGGTAGTGGTTATATTTTATTTCTTTGTATTACGTAAGGGGTATTTTATTATACTATATAATAAATTTTGGTAACATTCGCAGGTCGAATGAGAGACATTTGGTCGCGAACAGGCGGCCACACATCCAGGACCAACTTCAGTGGGTGGATTATGTGCCACGACTTCTAGGAGCTATACATGTTGGAAAGAGTGCTACATCAGCTCGGTTACGTGCAGTATATACCTCGTGCACCTCTCACGCCGGTCATTCAGTTCCGCGGGAAAAATGCGCACAAGTATTTTGTTAATCGTCCGAGTGCTGAGACCAATAACTGTTGGGTTAGATTTCAGGAATCAGAGTGCATCAGCCTCAGTCATTGTATGCCGGTATCATCTACAGAGGTAGGACAGGCAGCTGTAGAGTACCACGACTGGTACAGGAGCCATTCACATCCATTCATACTATCGACGTCTGTCCCGTCTACGTCACGCATACCAGCTAAGAACTGCACCACTTATGTAAGTTCAACACTCAATGAATTTTTATTTAATAACACACATAATCTGAAAGCGTTTAATATGTTTTTTTTAATATTTGTAGTGGATGCGTGAGATAGAGAGGTTGAGTCGAGGTTGCATCGAAGATTTGAAAAAACTTGATCTGGATCTTGGTCTGCAGTGGGATACTCGCCTTGATGATGTCATCTACAGTCACAGTCAAGCCCCATGACATTCGACTCCTTTGGTTAGAATTTGGTTATTAGAAACTCATTGAGTCTTTTTTTTTTAATCAATTGCACGTATTGTGCTGATTTGGAGTATGTTACAATTTCGTTGTTGTAAGTATTTTGGACTTATTTTGTTTTTCAATTTCATTTCATTTAAAAACGAATGAAAAGATATGGAAAAAACATATAAAATATTTCATATTTGTATAAACAAATGTAAAACAACATATCACCTGAGATCAACAAATGACCGTCAGGGTCTTCTCGGGGGATCAGGTGGGACCAAAGTATGCCATAGTTACATTCTGGGTTCAAGAGGTACTTCCCAACCAATAACACTACTATCACGGTCGTGATGCCAAATGGGCTGAATAGTTAGAATTGGAAAATCACCCTACAGATTGAGTCGAATGAAGTGCTGGTAGGACTCAAGGTGGTAAATAACGATCTGGAACTCTGGTTTTGTTTCCCCCCCTGTGCGATGAGTGGTAGCACACTCCAACATGTGCCATTTAGATTTACAGTGCCATTTGTCCTGAAGTAGTACACAACAACATTGAAATATATAGCGATGGGATAAAAGTCCTCTGTCGACATCCAGTGAACTTCGCTTATACCAATCCACCGTAAACGCTTTAGGCTTTCAGCTAATTTATCCCATCTACAAAGACGAGTAAAAGAAAGTTTTAAAAAAATCACATTGATGCAAGTGTATTAAATAGGATCTCAAAATAAAACTTGTCATACCCGTAAAGGTTCCTGTAAAGCCCAGGATTATTTATAACCTCATCGAAAACTATCTGTCTACACAAAACATGATTATTCTGCCCTCTCAACATGCAACTCGCAATGACACGAAAACCAAAATTGCTGTCAGGCTGGACATCAAGATATGACTGAACATGGTTGTGGAGTATCTGCTGAATCTTATTCTTATGCCTAAACTTGGAAAAGTCTGTCTGCATCACATCTGTTACAAATTAATTTCATTATCTCTGGATTAAATATAAGAATTTAATAAAATAATGAAATTTAGCACTTTTAAAAATATAAATATAAACCGTACCTCCGACATGAGCTTCAGATCCCGACGTATGGCCTCTACTGGAACTGCTGGTGTTCATCCCATCTAGTCCAGTCCATGTTCCTGTGCTTCCACGCCATGAAACAAAAATATAAGAATTAAATGATAGTAATAATTTCGCACATTAAAAGAATAAATTTATATCGGACCTCTAGTAGGATCTTTAGCTCCCAACGTATGGCCTCTACTGGAACTGTTGGTGTTTGTCCCACCTTGACCCGATGTACCTTTGCTGGTACCTGCTTTATTGGAATCGCTGGTGTTCGTTCCATCCTGATTGCCGTCCCTGTATGCCCACACATTTGGTTTGTCTTGCTTTCTTTTTGAGATGCCTCCTTTCTTCGGCCTGCCTTTGTCTCTCTTTCCAACCCGCAGTTGTTTCGATCTGGCTTGGCCCGGGTGAAGTTTGTTGTACATCAATCTAGTGATCTCGCGTTGTATTGGGTCCTTAGCAGCGTCCAATTCTTCCACTAACTGCCTGAACAACAATCTGTGAGCGGAGACATCATCCGAACTATCCTTCTCTGCAACCTGACCGATGTCGAGTGTGTTCCAAAATTTGTGTAAGTATTTTGGAGTCAAAACCTCGTAGTCCTCCATTACCCGCTTCAGAATACATGTACAAGGGATCAAATGAGTTTGCTTCAAGTAGTGATTGCATTCCCAAAACACATCATCTCCGAGTTGCTGTGCCCTTTCCAACTCATTGTTCAATAGATCCAAGCAGTAGTGTGAAACGTTGCATCTCAATTGGTAGAAAGGGTACTTGTTGTGTTGCCTCCCTATTTTCTGCCTTGATTCTTGCAATTTCTCCCTGTGGAGGAATGAAAAAAATTGTTTAAACAAACTAAACACACAATATATATTATAACCATATTTTAGAATGTAACGTTGAAATCCAGTACCTTATTTGTGTAAGCTGTGTCTCGAGTAACATGTGAACCTTATGCCAGACCGTTTCAAAAGAAGCATTTGTTGTGCCGAGCTATTCCTTTAACAACTTGTGTGCGCTCTCCACTCTACAAGTAGTGGTGTTGCCAAGATGAAAATAAGTGTTGGTCCATGCCTGCACAAACTTGTCCGCCACCACTAACCATGTCTTCTTGACATACTCTAGAACGGGTTGAAATTGGGATCAATTATTCTCCAGAAGCTTCACTTTTTCTTTGTAATCTTCCCGATTTGCAGCTTCGATCACTTTTTTAAAGGCCTTGTACGCGAAATTTTTTGCTACGTTCGCATTTACGTTCAAAATTCTTTCACATTTTCTTCAACATCCCTGTAAACGTGCCACATACACAACAAGTGATGTGATGATGGAAATACATCATCAAGAGGCCTCATTAGTCCAGGCTCCTGATCAGTCACGATGACACTCGGATGCAGATCATCACTGTACAAGTTACGGAGCTACCACAGCGCCCAATGGTAGCTGTCCCCCGTCTCATCACTCAAAAGAGCATATGCTATAAGGAAGGTCTGATTGCACAGGGTCATTCGAACAAACTCCATAAGAGGCATTTTATATTTGTTTGTGTTGTATGTGGAGTTTACACAAACAACTCAAGGATACGTGCGCAACAGCAACAAAGAATCCGGATGAGCAAAAAACACATGGGATAACCTCTGTGTCTCTTCATCGCACTCAGTGAAGATGATGTATTTGTGTTGTTCTGCGACCTCTAACACCTTTCCCACGATGTCCATAGAAGCCATGTCATCCAGAATTAGAAATCCCTCCTTACGCAATTGATTTCTGTAATTGTAGACTTGTTTGGAGGTAATATTTTCATCAGAAAATTGTGTCCATATCGCCCGTAAAATGTGGATTGCCTTAGTCCCAACTTTAGAGTACTCTTGAATAAGCTCTTTCACTTCTGCACTCAGTGGCCTCCTAACCCGAGGTGGATTTTACAATGAATGGTTGTGCATTCCCCACGGACCGGGATATACACGGATCGCCCACCTATCATATATTTTGTAGACAGTAACCCGAAACTGGCATCCAGTCATCTGTGTCTTTGTATTGGGTCGGGCGCGCATGTTTTCATCCACCTGTTGACCTGGATACCAGCCTCCTTTATGACAAAAGAGTATAGTATTATTATCTTTGTGCGAGAATACACTTAACTCCATGTTGTACATATTTGCAATATCCTTCGCATATGCAATAGCTTCAGGCTTCGTGCCAAAAGTCTCGTCAGTAGCAAAAGCCGAACTATAATCATGTCCATCCCCCTGATAAAACCTATCCTGCACACGTTAAAAATGAATTATATTATAACTTAAATTAACTATAATAATATCAAACCACAAATAATTCATTATAAACAAGAACATAATATATAATCCGATATAATGATGTTATACTTTAAAGATAATTAATTAACATAATATATACTAATAACAAACTAAATATATTATTAACAAAAACTCACCATTTTAATATAACAATTATAACTTAGGAACATACTACCTAATTAAACAATTCTTTCTAAACTAACAACAAACTATACACCCATTTAACAAGAAAAAAATTATTTCATACGAACATACTACGTAATTAACATAATTTAAACATATAACAACCTAAACACATAATTAACCAAAAATTAACTCATTTAAAATAACAACTATAACCTATGAATAAAATACGTAATTAAAAAATATTCTCTAAATATTTAAGTTAAACATTATTTATTTACCAATACCATAAACCCCAAATATTAAGATAGATTATCTATTTAACTACCAATTAACATAAATTTTTAAAATAAATATTAAACTACCAAACAAATACTCAAATAAAATAAATAAATAAATAAAATAAATACATGAATTAAATAAATTTATTAAACTAAAAATTTAAATAAATAAATGATATTAATTAAATACATTAAAAAAACAAATAATTAAAATTAAAAAAAATGGGTGGCGCCCAAACGGGCATCATCCATCAGTTGGTTGGCAAGTGTTTGCTCGCCAACCCAGACAACGGTGGCGCCAAAACTGACGCCACCCCTTCACCAGAGGCGAAGGTTTTCTCACCTCCCTGTAAAGGGAGGCGAGATTATTCCATGTGTTCCTCCTGCGCCAGCCGTTAACGGTTAGCGGATATGTCCCTCGTCCCCCTCCTTTTGTTGAAAAAAAATATCTCCAATGTATAGAGGGCGTATCCGTCTTTTGGAGGACGCTCAAATGAGAAAATAAAGGCACTCAACAGTTTCACCCTTACTTTCACCAAGAATGTTAAAGTTTTAGTTACTAAATGTCTTCATAACCATTGGTTTCAACACTATCAATTTGTGGCTTTCATTGGTGTTACAAATAAGGATTGATAATTTTATTGTTCAAAAGGAACAAATCAGCACCCCATTACTCATGCATGCTAATATTGTTAAAGACGGATAAGCTGTCTGTGTTGCAGATTCCAGCTTGGTACCCCTGCTGTAATGCAAAATAACGGCTCACTTATTCCGTTTTATTTGGAAACGTAAAGTATAGCTCAACTAAGAACTTGACATGGTTAAGGAATGTTTGTTTTGATGTGTTTCTAATATTTTAGCACAATAATTTACTGCTGCTTGAACTGTGAATCTCTCAAACATACATCCCTGCTAACTATTTTAGTAATTTCGCTCAAATGTTTCAAAAATTAATTCTTAGTCATTATAAAATGAAGGATACACGAACGTGTACTACTTTGACATTTTTAAACAATATGTTACTTTTGTTATGTAGCATTGTGTGACCTACATACTGGCTTATGTATAATGTCTTTTTTTTCCTGTTCCATGTTCCAGACGACCTGAAGTTATTTAAATGTTCAATATCATCTTAGCAAAATAACACAAGAGGGGATGAGTGTTTGCGAAACTATTGATGTCAATGTTTCTCAGTAGTCAAGTCTTAGCCTACAGTTTATATTAAGTGATAAGCATTTTTTTTGGGTGAAAGGTTAAATCTATTAATGAAATGCGCAATAAAGGCTCAATTGTCACCATTTACAAATACCTCCTCTATCTACTACTGATTATACAGTATCTATTTACAACAAAATATAGCATGCTCATGCATACTGATACACAATAGAATAGCCTTCCAGTTTCCTCCTTTCAGCATCTGTCCATACTCCCTTTTGTTTGCCCAGAATCGTGATTCTCCCTTCATCTTGAATCTGATTCAGCAGCTCAGAACCCTGTCGAATAGCTCCTGTAAACAATCTTCTATTTCGCTCCTCCGATATGTGGTAAATTGTTGCATTAATTGCAGCCAAGAATATTCTTCTTAAACTGGTCCAGCCATCTTTCCATTCTCTAAGCCAATCTCCTGTTTCCCAGCCAGTTCTGAAGCAACTGCAGAACTGCAGAGGCAAAACTGCATTAAAAAAATACTGAAATTACTGCCTGCGTAGCAGCACTTAATGACGCGTGCAATGCACGCGCTACGCAAGAGCGTGGACCATTCCACGCGACTTTAGTGCGCATGTTTTTTTTTCCTTTGTGTCTTTGTTTTTTCCTTTTTGGTTTAGGGGGGCGGATTTTGGGGTTTTTTTTTTCTTCTTTTTTGTTTTGGTTTTATGGGAGGGAATTTTTGGAGTTTTTTTTAGTGTGATTTTTCTTTTCTTTTCTTTTTTTTTTTTTTGATTTAGTGGTTTTTTTTAATGCGCATGATTTTTTTCTTTTTTGTTTGTTTTGGTTTGGTGATTTTTTTTTGATTTTTGATATTGTGCATTTATCTAGATATAATTATCCTCTATTTTTATTATTTAACAATGAAAAATTTCATGTGTTTTTCTTTTTAAAATTTATTTCTTTTCAGTATAGTTTTAATTTCTTAGTTAATATAATTTTAAATTATACAATAAGACCATATAAAATATACTACAATATATGAATATATGAATTTAAAAAGACCATTAAAATTATATAAAAAGACCATAAAATAAATTACAATATATGAATTTAAAATTATATATAGTAACACCATAAAACAAATTATCGTTGCATGACCTTTGAAATTCAATAATAAAACCATAAAACAAACTATATGAAGTAAGACCACATTGTCTTTTAGGAAGACCAATGCAAGTACATACAATTCCTCACACAGGTTTGCTCCGATATATCCCCCGAAAAACGATTCAATATATGAATGGAGTGTCATGTAGGCAGCCAAAAATCTCGCTAGCCGCAGGTTATGTGAACATCTACAGCTCCTCACACAAACCTGCTCCTCCCACACGACTGATGCGATATCTCCCCCGAAAAAATGATTTTCAATTTATATTCGAAAGGTCGCGCAGGCGGCCGAAAAACTCGCTAGCCGCAGGCTACATGAGCATCTACCGCTCCTCGCACATGCTCGCTCTTCGTACACGCCCGCTTCGATATATCTCTCGAAAAAGGATTTTTGATTTATATTCAAAGGGCCGTGCAGGCAGCTGAAAAACACGCTAGCCGAAGGCTACGTGAGCATCTACCGCAAAATATCTGCCGCTCCTCACACACGCCCGCTCCGATATCTTCTCCCAAAAAAGTTTCTAATTTATATTCAAAGGGCTGTGCAGGCGGCCGAAAAACACGCTAGCCGAAGGCTACGTCAGCATCTACCGTGAAGTATCCGCTACTCCTGACGCACGCCTGCTCCGATATCTCCCACAAAAAAAGGTGATGGAGACCATCTAGCTAACACTAATGGAGAGGGACATGTTGCTGTCAATAATGGAGAGGACGAGCAAGTTGAGGTCGTGAATGCTAATGAAGAATCTAAAGATGCTGCTTTAAAGAATAATCCTTACATCCGTGACCCACTCTCAAACATTGTTGGACCAATGACTCGTGCTAGATGCAAGAGGATGAATGAATCACTTAATAGTCTAACTACTACTACATGGGCTAAGGAGGAAATTAAGCTTGAAGATTACAAATAGGGACCGAATTTCTCTTGTCCAACACACCTTGTGTCATTAATATTTTCTTGAGTGAAATCAAATTGATTAGGATTTTATTCCTTTCGTGGAGTTCTTGTGAGGACTTCTTTGTTTAGTTGTTGCATATGTGTTGTGACAATTATTAGACTTATCTATCTTGTTTAGTTCACTTGATAGTGACGTCTTTAGCATTGGATTTTTCGAATTTTGGTTCTTAAGCTCATAGATCTCATATCTATTGGGTTTTCCTACACAATTTTCCAAGGGGTCTCTGCTTGGTTAGAAATAGCTCTCTTCATTTTTGATTTGGGTTGTTCTACCATTGAACTCGTGAATTGATCCACGTGAGATCATCTTTTCTTTTCTTTGTTTTCTGTTTGTTTTTGAGTTTTTAAATCCGAACTCTCCAAATTCCGCTGCCTACAAATCTCTGTCTTTCCGAATTAGCAAAGTTGATTTTCCTTAAAGATTGGTTTTGTCACGGATTGCTATCATATTTTTGGTATCAGAGCCTTCTTATGGTTTTACCATAGTTGGCATATTTAGAGCCATAATTGGTATATCAAGAGTCATCTTCGGTTACCATAATTGGTCTCAAAATTCGGATTTTTGTTCTTTCTTGTTTTTTTTTTTCGAATTTTCTCCCAAAATAGGGTATTCGTAATATTTTGTTTTTGAGTTGTTCACCACTTGGACAAATCCTTTTGGTTTCGTGCCTTTCGTTTTGTTTATCATCCAATAGCAAACTTCGGTGATTGTGTTTGATATATATCTTTCGTTCTAAGATCTCTATATCTTGAGGGTAATTGATGTTCATTCATTGATTGTTGGAGGAGCTTTTGTGTTGAAGGTGTTTGTTTGATTTGACCGTACAAAAAAAAATTGAGTCTAGGGTTCTTTCGGTCGCCCCTATAAAAAAAAAATATAGCCGTACGAAAAAAAAACGGTAGAGAAAAAAAAAAGAAGAGAAAAATGAGTCTTCTTTGATAGGGTACATTAAAGGTTGCCTTGCATTAGGAGATTTCAAAAGAGTTGGAAGTGAAGTTGGAAAGAATCTTCTTGAAGAGGTATATTCAAAGTCTATCTCTATCTAAGAAGGTTAGATAAAGTTGTGTTTGATTGGGAGTTTATCTTTGCTATTGAATTGCCTATATTCTCTCAAAAGATAAGATTCTCTTCAAATCTTATCCTAATCTTATCATTATCTCATCTTGTAAAAGATAAGATTCTCTTTAAATCTTATCCTTATCTTATCTTGTGAAAGATAAAATCTTATCATAATCTTATCTTATTGGATAAAACCTTATCCTTATCCTATCTCATTGGATAAAATCTTATCGTTATCTCATCTTGTAAAGATAAGATTCTCTTTAAAGCTTATCCTATCTTATCTTGTAAAAGATAAGATTCTCTTAAAATCTTATCCTTATCCTATAAGAGCTTGAGTTTGAGTTGGAGTCTGAGATATAATCTGAGTTTGCTTATACTTCTAAAGCAAGATTCTTATTTTTTCTCCAAACACTCGAACGAGATTTGTGTTCTCCCTCGTTCTTTTCTGGAATTTCCCTAAATTTACTTTACGTGCTAATTGATTTTGTCTGCTTTTGAGTGATTTATTTGAGTGGATTGTTTAATTAATTGTTGTGGTGCATATTGCTACTACTTGAACATTGAAGCCGATCTGGAACTTTACCAAAGGTCTTTGAGTGGTAAAAGGCTTGAGTGTTTTTCTTCTATTCCACTTTGATATTGGGGAAAAAGCCAAATAAATCCCAAAGAGAGCATACAAAAGGTGAGTTGTGTGTGATACTACCAAAAGGGGGGAAAAGAAAAAGATCATTAGTTAGGGAAAGTGAGGTAGGAACGTTTTCTACTAACATCCTATATATTTGTTTGTTCTTTGATCTTAAAGGATGTCATCTAAAGATGATGAAGAGCAAAGAGACCGTTCTCAAGATGCTATGCGAGAAACTCTTGCTAGATTGTGTAATGTTACTACTCAATTATGTAGTAGAATAGAAGATCTAGAACTAGAGGTTCGTAATGGTCGCGCTCAAGGTAATGAAGGTAACGAAAATCGTAATAGAGCTCATCGTATTGTCAATAGGAATGATCCTTATGAACTTGGTAATTTCAAATTTAAAATTCCTGAATTTAGTGGTACTAATGACCCTCTTTAGTAAAGACAATGATATTCTTCGAGCAATGATGCACAGCATCTACATCTGATTGCCAAGGCCTACCTAGCAAAATATCACAAAGAGACATAGGAATTACATCAAAGTAAATTTCATCCCTATAATCACCAACTTGAAAAGATACCATGGCCTTCTTAGTGACATCCACAACCATCTCTTCACTCAACCATTGAAGCTTGTATGGTCTAGTATGCGGATCCATCTTGATTCCGTTCGTTATGCAAAAATCCTAACTTATACAATCAGTACTCGATCCACCATCGATTACCAAATCAACTTCATTGGACCACCCAACCGAACACTTAGTACGAAAGATACATGTCCGTTGATCACCATCTTCAGCGCCAAACACCAACCCTTGATCCTTAATTTGACCATTCCAACCACAAGAAGTATCATGCTCTCTCTACACTTCTAAGGTAGCATAGTATGCCTCATAGAGCCTTGATTGCCTCCTTATCTTTGGGTGTTGTTTATACCCCTTGTCCAAGCCATAATGGAAACGATCAGTCAACATGTAGTCGTTCTCATCCACACCCGAACTCAGGAATACGCCTTCTAACTCCTCAAAGTAAGATTGAACGGATCTACCATTCTGCTTACAATTGAGCAACCTCACTTTTGCTTCATCAAAGGTGTTAGTACCAGCATATCTTTCTCGCAAAGCATTCCTCAAATCAAGCCAATCATCCAAATTACGATACCAATGATGCGAATAGATATTTGAAACTAGCTTCCACCAATTTAAAGCACTAGAACGAAAACAGCCTACAGCTAAGGCTATTTTCTCACTCTCTTTCTCTTTGTTAAGCAATACAAACAAATTCTCTATGCTCTTTTCCCAAGTATCATAGTCTCTATGGCAACCATAAAATAAAGGCAATGACACTTGCAACATTCCAGCATACGAGGGTACTTGTTTTACTTTAAAAACGATCACATAAGACTCTCAAATTTTCAGCAATTTTCTCAAAACTTACCGTAACTTTATCTTGCTGATTTGAAAGCAATTGAGACAAGTCTCGGTTCGCCTCCTTCTCCTCGGCCAAAGCATCACGCAAGTAGTCAATTTGACTCTTCATGAGCTGCACCTAAGCCTCCATGCGACCCTCTACACTCTTTGAAACAACTTGAGTACAACCAGCAACTCTGGATGACATCTTTGCTCAACAACTTTGAGAAACCACCAACAAAAGAAGTAATATGCTCTTGTTACTACACAAAAACTCCTTGAATCCTAGAACCAATGAATGGCTCAGCCGAAACCCCCCAAGAACCAAAGGAAGGTTCGAATAATGCTCTCCCCAAAAACAAAAACTCTCTTGTGCTTTTATAAACACTAACTCTCAAAAATTCAGAATAAAGAGAAGAGTGCTTCTCTTGTTTTACCCTTGTGATCTTGGCAGCAAGAAGAAGAAGAAGAATGGAGTAGAGTGGTATGAGAATTTTCGAAAAACAGCACCCCTATTTATAGGCAATGCAAGTCTTTTTGTGCAAGAAAACTCCTACAAGATAGGACCTAAGCTTTCTCAAGAATATTCTCCCCTTAATTGATAAAATTCAGTTGACAAGATGGAATAAGGAAGAAGAAATTCGACCAGATTGATAAATAAAAGAGATAGAGTCCTAAAACTTGGGTAATCATAATCCCTTTTGGACACAACTTATGAACTATGTCATAAAACAATGAAAGATTCATCCCTACTAATTAGAGACAAAAAAAAAATCCGACCCCCTACTACAAATAGGACTCAAAAACTCGACCAAAACACAAGCACAATTGTATTAAAAGACTCAAAAATTTTTAGATTAAGATAAGACTTCCTTATCTCTATAGTTTTCGAAAGTAGACTCACTTTAAAACTCTAATTATAATCTCACTGAAATTATAATTTAACTCATGCAAAAATTAGTATTTAAATCCAAGTAGGACTCAAATAAAACACACAACAAAATTGTATTACCATTAGGAAACAAAGGCTAAAAAAATTTAAGCCAATGTGAATACTAAAATTCATTCCTCATCAAATGATAAAGAAAGTTTTGAAATTCAAGTTAAGAATCATGGAAAGTCCAATGATAGGAAGATCCACTAATTCGACTTATTCTCAAAGTATAAACTTATCAGATACCAAAAACTGATATTTGTTTCTTTTGAAAATCTTTTGACACTAAGATTTAAAAATAATCAAAAAGGATCGGAACTCTATGAAATTCTCATTGATTGAAAATCTATAAATTCCATTTTACTCATTAGATTCAAATGAGAGCCAACAAAAAGGAAGACTTTTTCATTTATACTTTATGTAGAAAGTACAAAATCACTAGGCTTCACCTTTCAAAGAATAGATCCAAGATATTTACCACAAGATAAACTCTTAAACCCTCCTCATGTAAAGATATCTCTTTAGAAAGAAAAGGCTATCTCGAGCAAGAAGCTTTTCTTTGGCATATTCTCTCCTTAAAGATGCAACACATAAGATCCACTAACTTGCTCATAGGAGAAACAGTTCTCTACATGCAAATCAAGGATAAATTTCAAGATGTAGCACCCACTTTGACTAGATACCAATGTACCATCATCAAGCTCTCGCATAGACCTCAAAATAACACCACAAGATCAAACAAATGTGTAAGAAGTCTCGCACAACCACAGAAAAGACAAGATCAATTTTGAAAACGTAGTTTTCACAAGAATTTGATTTATTTTTTCAAAACCCATTCTGCAACAAGAAGGAACATTGAAACAAATAAAGATAGTACAACTCGTTAGTAGAACAAAACTCGATTACCACACCAAGAAACGGGTTTCGTGGTAACTCACGATATTCTCAAAACCAAGAACTATGAAGTTCTCAATCAAAAAGAAATCCCTCGACAATCAAACTAATACTAAAAACTGATATGATAATATCAATTAATACAATCACTTAGATAGTTCAAGCTCTGATACCAGAAACTGGTAGCAATCTCGTAGATGAAGCAAATTTCATTAATGCAACCATCAAACAAGAAACTACGAAGATAAGTTGTCTATCCCGTGAAACTCAAAAGAGTGCGGAAAATTCACAATAAGACGATCGTTTATCTAAGGATTTCTATCTCTTAACTCAAACCAAGCAAAGAACACATAATCTATGAAAGATTCGAATTAAACAACAACCCACACTAAGAATAGTAAGGGGTGATTCAATATACTCGATTAGTCATCATTCAAGAGACACAAGAAAGGTAGGAGCAAACAATGCTCAACTATGAAGGAATACTATTGATTAGTAATCTCCATAACCAACAAAGATATACAACACATACACTATCTCAAAATGCTTATGTCTAAGCACAACTCATCCAACAAAAAGTAGGACAAACCCCACAAAGGAACTCATACACACACATCATGAACTCGAAAACCATAGCCAAAAGAAAGGCTCAACTCTCGAACTACTAGAAGTAGTATGAAAATAAGAAGTTTAGTTTTAAAACAATTCTGTCAAGAAGCATACTTGAATAAGAACGGTTTCTGCAAGATCAAAAGATCCAAGACAAGATGAAAACCCTCTTGGTTAAATCATACTTTACAAATGAAAAATGGACAAACCATTTAACAAAAATTCCTCACAGGAAAAACACTCATTAGAGAAGACTCAAAATGACCACACACGGGTGCTTTAACTTTCGGCCACACCCCCGCCCCCTATTTATTGGCTAGCAATTTCGGCCAAAGCACCAAAAGGAAGACCAACTAGGACTCTCTAATCTTATCTCACGCAGGAGTAAAAGTAGAAGAGTATTTGATCTCTTTGACTCTATCTAAAATCTAAGAAACCTTATCTAAATGAGTTATTCTCAAATAGGATAATACTTAGAAGGAATCTAAGACTCCTAATCAAAACACTCTAGTTTAATTCAGTCCACATGACTTATTTAACTAGATAAAATTTGAAAATAAACTCCTAGACTAGATAATACTCTAATTCTCAAAAATCAGCTGGAAATATTGAAGTAAAATGTCTTGAATGCCCTTCCAAAAGTGGAATATTGGTCTTGCACCCTCAAGTTGTAGATAACTTCAATTTACACCAAAACTTGTTGAATTCTCTTTATTGACTCCAAAAGAATGGAAAACACTTGAAACAATTGAGATAGTTTAAAACCTATCCAATTGTGTACCGATGGACTAAAACTTGAACACTTTGATCAAATAGGGCGTCCATTCTAGAACCTAAATGACTCTTCTCTAGCTTGATCAATGATCTTCATGGAGCACCTAGAGTCAAACTCCCTTGATACTCTTGAACATTTATTTCCATGAGTGAATCATCTCCTTTGGTTTGAACCCCAAAGTCAATGACATTAATGGAGACCATCGAGCTAACACTAATGGAGAGGGACATGTTGCTGCCAATAATGGAGAGGACGAGCAAATTGAGGTCGTGAATGCTAATGGAGGATCTGAAGATGCTGCTTTAAAGAACAATCCTTATATCCGTGATCCACTCTCAAACATTGTTGAACCAATGACTCGTGCTAGATGCAAGAGGATGGATGAATCAATTAATAGTCTAATTACTACTACAGGGGCTAAGGAAGAAATTAAGCTTGAAGATTACAAACCCAAGACTATTTCTTTGTTGCAAGTGACACCAAATGGACTTGGCCCATTTGGAGAGAAGGAATTTCGGCCCTCAATCCAAGGAGAGACCACCGGCCACACTCCTTATGGAGGTCGAATGAATCCTTAAAGTTTAGGGATGAGATCATTCAAATTTTATCTCTTTGAAAGATAAGACTTTATCTCTTTAAAGGATAATATTCGGGATGATTCCTTTTATCTTTGCTTTTCGAGTTTTCCTACAATAAGGAGTCAACTTATTGATGTCTACTCAACCGTTGGATGAATACTACATCAAGATGGATTGCTAAGATCACTCTACAAAGAAGATGATGATAGAGTTTTAACTCAAGGGAGATCTATCCATAGGAATCTTTCTATGAGATTATCTCTTTGTATTTTGAGTTCTAATTAATTCCTACATAGTCTTAAATGTCTTAAGACTAGTAAAAGTGTCTAGGTTCGTTATCTTATCACTTAAGATAACTAGGAGTCTTTAGAGTTTGATTTCATTTCAAACTCTTAGAGATAGGAATAGAGGTGAAGAGTTGTGTTCTTCCTCTACTTCTTGGGAAGAAAATTCGGCCACCCCCTCTATAAATAGGGATCGAATTTCTCTTGTCCAACACACATTGTGTCATTGATATTTTCTTGAGTGAAATCAAATATGTTAGGATTTTATTCCTTTCGTGGAGGTCTTGTGAGGACTTCTTTGTTTAGTTGTTGCATATGTGTTGTGACAATTATTAGACTTATCTATCTTGTTTAGTTCACTTGATAGTGGCATCTTTAGCCTTGGATCTTTCGGATTTTGGTTCTTAAGCTCATAGATCTCATATCTATTGGGTTTTCCTACACAATTTTCCAAGGGGTCTCTGCTTGGTTAGAAATAGCTCTCTTCATTCTTGATTTGGGTTGTTCTACCATTGAACTCGTGAATTGATCCACGTGAGATCAAATATCTTTTCATTGTTTTTTTTCGTATGTTTTTGTGTCTTTACATCCGAATTCTCCAAATTCTGCTTCCTACGAATCTCTGTCTTTCCGAATTAGCAAAGTTGATATTTCATTAAGATTGGTTTTGTCACGGATTGTTATCATATTATTGGTTATCGTAGTCTTCATATGGTTTTACCATAGTTGACGTATTTGTTTATTAGAGCCATAATTGGTATATCAAGAGTCATCTTTGGTTACCATAATTGGTCTCAAAATTCAGATTTCTTGTTTATCTTGTTTTTTTGAATTTTCCTCTCCCAAAAGAGGGTATTCATAATATTTTGTTT